ACTAATTGTATTTACTATTACTTGTCAGTATTTACATTTTAAGCATGGAAAAATGTTTGATGATTTTGACATTATGTGGCGAATGGCTTATACTTTATATCAATATATACGTTATATTATACAGAATGTCTCCTAGCGTAAAACTGTTAATTGTGACTGTGTGCAATTAAAATGTACATTTGAATATTTTAAAACTCATAGATTGAACTATTAGCTTGATCGTTTTCGGATCATCCAAGTTGTCATTTGTGACGAGGAAAGCAAAATGCAAAGAATGCCAAAAGAGCACAACAGCAATAAACAGTGAAAAGGAGGATTTTTTATTTGTTTATAGATTTGTAATTATTCGGAGTAGTATCCGTAGAAACATATATATATATATTTGTTCTGTTTTATATAGTTCGGAGAATGATGTAGTAACCTTATAAATAAACCACGATATTCTTGGACATCTCTAGGTAAAATCAGTTATCAGATTGTCCTCGCAAAAAGTTTTAAATTCAACACAGAAGTGTGTTTTTCAAGTAGCATTCGTGTATGGACCTTTATGATTTACCAGTTGTACTTAATAATGTTATATAACTCTGTCAAACGCTGTTTGACCCATTTATATTGTAGAAGCTATAAGATAACAAGAGTTGTGATTGTCGCTAAGGGCTAAGATATAGGGGGAAGACTTACAAAAAAACAGGTTTTGACCGTTGAGTTATAGGGTATGGTCGAAGAATTGGATTCACGCAACACCATTGTACTGTTTGTAGCGTTAGGAAAGTTTTTACATTGTGAGAATATGTTAAATACACGCTTGTGACGACTATACAGGTTGATTATTCAGTTTTAAATAGGACGCAGAGATTATTTTTAAATATTAAAATAAGACGAAAATAACCGAATATAAATCACAAACAAACCCGACGCGGTAAACAATATTCTTATAATCTACAAACTCGAATCTCCGGCGGAATCCAGCCATGCACTATTATGCACATTTAAAATATGTATAATATGCATAATATGTATAGTTGCCGAAGATATATTATGTATACCATGGGACATATTCAAGTGCATAGTATAACATATTGCCTATTGTATACGTCATGTTTTGCAAGCAAGTTCTTGTGTTAAAAGTGTCGAATGAGGATGTGACACCACCTTTGGCCCGCAGTGTTTGGGAATCGACGCAGCTGATACCTATCGGATGTTGTTTAATGCTTGTCCATTGAGCCTCGCGGGTCGCCGCGTTTTGTTAATGACGTCGTTCATCTGATGATGTGATGATGTTCTTCACTTCATGTGCGTTTCCCATCCATGTTTGCAGATTAGTATTTAATGGTCGTGCCTGTTACCATTAAACACCGCACTCGGGTTATCGGGCAAAACCGAAACTCGTTCGATAGCAGAGCGGCTATTACAAAATAACACACTTTTTATTACACACTCGTTACGTAATGTTCCCCCCCCCCCCGTAAGAAAAACGGAACGGATAAATTATTAAAATGATATTGGATATTATTTCCCCCGTTTTGTGGAAAGGAAAAAATATATTAAGAAGGAACAGAAGACAAAATATGCGGACGACGCGCGGCGTAAAACGTTTAATATAAAATTAAAATTTGTCGGTGTCCGGTTGCTGCAACGTTGCGATAGTGTGTGTGGTGGCCAACCATTATATAAACAAAGGACTTTTGTCGACGATTACCATAAATTTAGGATTCCAGAATTCTGAAATTATTGTAATTATATTATGTGTCCTATCTGTATGGTGGCAACGCGTTCGTCGCGTAGGGCATAGGTAAAAAAAAATACGAACCGGTTTGCCCAATAATAAATAATAATAAACGAGTGCTCCCGTTGTTTATTCGGCCTCAAATCCGAATTCACCTGTCGAAGAGATGGCCTTACCTTACGGACGTGCGCGCGCGTTTCTTACGTTTGAAGCTGCTCGAAAGTCAGAAGAGGATCGCGAGAACGCGGCATACACCGGTATTTTTTTTGTCAATAAATTGTATTGTTGATACGCAAAAATATTATTAACATTTTAATGGAGTGAAGCGTGTGTTTGACAAAAGGAGAGCGGCGGCGATGGTGATACGATTTTTTGGACCGCGTTTATAAGGATATCTAATGCGAAATTGCCGCGGCATTGACCTTGGAGTGGTGTGTGTACTCTCGGTATTATAGTTTTTGGCCGACACGGAAGATAGAGTTTGCACAAATATATCAATCGGTAGCTACACAGCACTCGGGGGGGCCAATAGAGAGAGTACACTGCGAAATAAAACGCGTAATAGATGGAGCGAGTGTGCGATGAATCCGCGTGGTCGAGGTCATTTATCAGATAATTTGGTTTTGGATGCCGCCAATGCAATTATTATCCGAAAGACATACTGTCGTGGTCCAAGGACAGAAGAGTTCAATTTACCATTTTCGGCGATAGAAACCGATAAGTTTCCCGTGCGAGCTTTTACAATATCGTGTTCTTTTACTATAGCATTCCTATATAATTTACTAAAGCTCACGAATTAGCATATGATTTTTAGTAGGTACCCCTCCTTGCACAAGATTCTAACTTTAGGGGATACCAAATCGTATGGCATAGACGGTCTTATAGACAATGATACTTTTGCCGAACAACTGTAAAGGAGAGCAGTATACAAATTATATTGGAGCGACGTCCGTTAGTTTTCAGTCCAATTAGGAGTTTAAGAACGACGTGTGGTAAGTCGCATTTCGGCCGTTTTACCCTTTCAAGTGGCAAGGAATAATTTTTTAAATATCAAAAATAATTAAAATAATAGTACTTTTTAAGTTGGTCACGGAAAGTTATACATGCTTTAAGATACAATGGCAAGTTAAGGGCTATGCACCACCACCTGACGATGCCAAAATGTCTTTTATCGGCAAAATGATTTTAATTGAATAATATTTAGGCGCGGAGGCGAGTAGTATATTTTTGAACCGTCAAAAAACTTTGAAGCCACTGGAAAAGTGGAAGTGACGGGAGCTGAGGTCTTGGGAAACCTGTTGGCGCCGTTCGACTTACGGTGAACACTTAACGCTGTCCGAGTGCTCTTCTTCTTCGGTCATCGATCGCGGTCGCGCTGGATCTCACGAGGTCGATGTGCGGAGCGTCAAATTTATGAATGAAACCGCAAATGTTTGAGTTTTAAACCGTGACGCTGCAGTGGGGTTGCTCTCAGACGTGTATATCAGTGTCTTAAAAACGTGACGTACTCTCTCCTATGCCCCCCCCCCCCCAACGCTTGTTTAAAATAAATATAATGCGCTTTTGCCTTGTGCGTATTGATCCCCGACCAATGGACTGGAACACGCGTTGGCAATTCCCAGGATTTTGACAGCTCCACAAAGCGCCACTTCTCTGCGCCTTGACACCACTGTCGTACTCATAATATTGTATTGTGTGCACGTCTGTGTAAGTGTGGTCCTTTTCCCAGCGCTTTCGTTGATCCTCTCGGCATGGCCATTCTTTAAATTCAACTTGGACGGCGTTGTTATAATACTAGTTGCAGATGGATATAACGCCGAATACAAACGGGGTCGGCGGTGGTGTTTTTGTTTTCACGGTAGCTTGTTGTCGTGCAAACACTTTTTATTCCTATTCTCCAATAGTTTATTGACCCAAACGATAAGAAAAAAAAAGTCAAACTCTCTTGTTGCTAGACTGTTTTGACGACTTCGTCGATAAAGAAACAAAACATAAACAAAAAAAAAAAAACAATTTGATTTTCACCGTAACACCTTATTGGACACGGGGTCGCAGAGGGTTGACCTCGTTCTCTAGACACAGGTCATCGACAAACGGCCACGTGGCGTTATTGCAATATTATTATTCAATATACACTGTTATTTTCTACAACCCTTAACCCAAACTCCCCTGTTATGTAAGTAAAGGGTAGAATGGCGGTGTGCGTGTTTTCAATAACATAAATACTTGACGAACACATAACTTTTTTTTTTTTTTGCAAATATAAATATTTTAAAATGGTCAATAAACGGACGGGGGATTGCCCTAAAATCTTATTCTTGGATCTGCCACAGTGTAACACTTGCCAAAAAAAAAACCATTGATAAAGGATAGTGACGTGGATCTTTACACTCTTGGGTGTAAAAGTAACCTTCACCGTAGTATTAACTAAAATGTGTTTTTAAGAAGTTATATATTTTGGTAAAAACTTAGTCACAAGCTGTGACGACCGTGTGCGTTACGAAAATAGCCATTAATCAAGCTTACCTTCCTCGACTGTATTATGGCGTTAAATTATTTTACCGTTAAAATACCTGTTTTTGTTCCACCATACTACTGATCAATGTAATCTTAATTTATCTACTAAACAATGATACAAGGAATCCGAAATAGGATTTAAATTCCTCTGCATCTTCTTTTGAGGAACGACTCTTCTACTTTTTAAATTTAGAGTAATAGTATATTCTACAGTATAATATATTAATTGATATTTTGTTAAAATGTTTTCCTGTTCTTTAATTGAATACCAATTGCCAGCCAGTATTAGTCCAAAATTGAAAAATATTTTAAAGGTCTATTATTAGATAAGATGCTGGGGAATACGAATACGAATCTTATAAATTAAAGAAATTACGGATATTACCAAATATTAGTCGTATGTAAATATATTTGAGACTAAAACAATCAACAAAATACTACCTGCATTTGCCACACGTAACACGTGTATTGTTTTGTTATGTCTTTAATTTGTACTATTTTGTATCTTGTCCCAAAGTCGTGTAATAATTAAGGCAATGTAACCTTTCGGGGAGCTGGAGCACAATAATTAACTGAGGGTTCTGAGAAAATTCGCCGTCTCTCATACTTAGCCACACCAAAACGTGACTAGATTTTGTGTGAAGTCTAAAGAACCTATCTTGTTTGTCTTAATTGTCTACGACTTAAATTTGTTTTGATGTTTGCATTCGCATTTTTTGAGAATACTTATTTGATTGATAATGATGTTTTGTTACAGGGCGAACGGATACTGTCGCAATCGAACCCGTGTCATCGTGGATCGTAGAACCGCCGGACTTAGCTGTTGCAGTCCGTGGTGTACCCTATGAGCTGCGGTGCCATTCGTCCTTACCGAATGTCACCTACCAGTGGATGCACAACAACCGCACATTGTATCTAGTCAACGACCCGCGCCGTCAGATTTTGCCCAACGGTTCTCTGTATTTCAAAAGCGTAAGTACATAAATACTATTTTGTAACGGTACAAACAAAAATCAGTTAGCAATAAAAACAAAAAAAAACAGCAATGTTTGATAATTACAAGAAAAAAATTCAGGTTGGTGGTTAGGTTAAGTTGTTGCACACCCATATATATAGGTACATAAATTGTACTTTAAACTTAACTATTACTATATTATATTTTACCGTGTACTTATATATATTGTACTTGATTTTTGATTGGCTGCCCGTCGTTACGCTGACATGTTTGTTTTTATCATGGAATATTTAAGGGGTGCAATAACCTTGTACATATCAATCATGGGTGGCACCGTGAAGTAATTTTGATCACTTTTCGAAAACATTTTGCAATTTTCATCCACCTTTGTAGGCTATACTACATGGCCGTGTGGCGACTGTCTGACAAACACCACTGAAATCATATTATTTAGACTTGCATATTGTTTATTGTTATTCCACTACCATAATAATAGAAAAATCATTCTCAATATTATCCTTTGTTTGAAAACAAAATAACCCGTCCATTTGCCCAACGTCTTGGACAATTTACCGATGTAAATTCGAAATGGAAATTGTCTATGAAATCCTATTAAGACTCGAGAGCACGCCACAATAAATTTGTTGACACGTGACATAGACAAAACTCGAACCGATTTGTAAATGTATTCCTTTTGACTATACATGCATATAAAATTATAGAACGTGATTATTATCAACAACGGAGATCTTTTGGTATATTTTCAGTTGTACGTACCTTTTACTTTTAAGGGGCTTCTACAACTGCGTACTAAACAACGCATTCTACTTCAAACGTGTACTGTTCCTAAGAATACTGCGAATTAAGTTTTGAAAAAATATTTTAATTCTCCATAACATTTTCAAGGCATAGTTATAAAAATTATTTTTTGTTTATTAATTATTTCAGTTTAAAAAAAGTTAAAAATTTCAGTTTTTTTGCATTGAAATAATTAATTAACTAAACATAATTTTAAAACTGTGCCACGACCGAAGCCTTGAAAATGTTATGAAGATTTCAAATGTTTTTTTTCAATACTTAAGTAGAGTTATTCTTAGGAACAGTACGCTTCAAGTAGAAACATATGGCTTTGTACAAAAATAGATTCTACATGCGTACATGCTTAAGGTACATGGTACCTTAAGCCCAACAAACGATTCCTTATGAAATATCCATACTCCGCAAACGAGGCCAACTTCAATAATTATTATTATTAATTCCAAACGTAGATACGCAGTTTTGTGTTTATTTTCAACTTTTGTTTACACTAAATTCGGGTTTATGTTTAAGTAGCGCGCGGGTGCGATAACGTTATTGTATTTACTTAGTAATTAAAAAAAAAAGTAATTCATAGATAATGGCGTTATCATTTGAGACTTGATTTCCATTGGTGGCTTTTCATAATACGAGTATAATGAATGGGTTGTTATTATAATGCAATTATTTCGCACAAATAGGTTTTAATCCCACGATAATTAATAACCTCTCCTTCCTCATTAATATTTATGTTCACAACTCAAACAGTGACAGGTTAGGTTGGGATAAGTAGAAAATTAAGCGTTTTTTTTTGTCACAACTCTTAATGTTCCTTTGTTTTCGTTTTGTCAAGATAAAAGTTTTAAACTTTTAATTAAAAATACCAAATTAAGAAGTTATCTCTTATTTGATCTATGACTACATATATTAACATAATTTCTAAGTAATTTCGCCTTATACTAAAACAAATCTAAGAAGTACATTTGATAGAAACTCACTGCAGAAACCCCGTTTGAAATCATTGTTTTAAAAAACAATTCTTTTCAAATCTAATTATTTTTTGTTATTTTCTTAAATGTAAAATATATTTCAATGTCTACAACTTTTTATTTTATCAGAGGCTACTCGGTCTGAACCCAAAATAGGGGTCACATTATCTAATTTACAATGGAGGGGCCGGCTTTACCTTTTTAAATGTTCATTGCATTCTGTTATGAAGTCTCTTGTTCCCCTCCACATCCTGGATATTCATTACCAAAATTGTTTATTTCTCTACTTACTCTTCACCCTAACTTCCTACTCCAATCTCTCTTACCTTGATATATAAATTTATCTTCCACCCTTCTTTCGACATTTCCAAATCATATCTATTTTTTCTCATTTTTCTTGCTATGGCCGCAAACTATCTAACATGTACCACGTTATTACATTGCTACCCTCTCTCCATCGGAATTGTTGGAGATACAAAGAAAATGTCAGCGTTAAGGCCTAATGGGGCCAATCAAATTAAATTATTTTATAAAGACATTACGTGTATATATTTATTACAAAAAACATTGATATCTCCATACTGCCATTTTGTGAATTAATAATATAATAAAGTGGGGATATGCAATAACTTGGTATATTTAAAACGTGGCCTCGCTATACAATATACTTTATTATTCTATTCACAAAACATCTTCTTTATTTCTTTTTTCTTGCATAACTGATCTTCAAGTCTGATAATAACGTGTTCATTGCGAGAGGCTGTATTTGTTTTGTTTTACTTGGAACTTGCGAGTACTCCATGCTACTAAGTTTTAAGAGGGACAGAAAGGCCAATATTTTTACTAATTAAGAATTAAACGCAAGGTCCAAGTTTTCTACCAAACAGATTTTAATTTTTTATTTGTTTGGAGGTTCAACATTTACTCTATGGGATTTAAAAGGTCGAATTGTAATTTTTGTTTTAAAAGTTTAAATATTGTTAATTTTTTATGAGTTTTCGAATAAATAAACTACAAAATCGGTGTCTGAGGCCCTTTAAAAAAATTCAGAAAGTGACTTCTACAACATTATTTTTTTACCAAGCCTTTGCAGTAATTCAGATAAAAATAACTTAATAAGTTATGTGACTAGAGACTTAATATTCATTTACTCTTAAATAAGTTGCCATATTCGAAACGGTGCCAATGTCGTCAAATTAGGTCAAATATCGGCTCCTATTGTTCCTTAATGAACAACTCTTTCCGTTTGGCCTTAAGGGTAAAGCATTGTGATGATACTTGCTCTATGCAGCGTGGTAGATTTGCGTGTAATTTGCTTGAAACCCGTATAGCGTATGTGTTGTTTAGCTTCGTTCCCAAGTTGTAAAGGTATACCTATTCATTTTTTTTTCATATTGTTTATTTTTATTTGTGGTTACAAACTCGGCTTGCGTTTAGCGAGTGTGAACAGTTAATATATTTTGGTTCATTTGTTTATCGTTCGCTGCAACGATGAACGGTTTTTTGACAAATGCGTTTTGGAAAAAAAAAACACCTTTATTTGTTATAATTGTTTAGCATATGACTGCGGAATGTTTATTTATATGGGGCTTCTTTTTTGGTTTGCAGGTGGTAAACAAAAAATCCGGCGACGCAGGATCCTATAGATGTATAGTACAAACGCCCAACGGCGCTGTTACCTCAAAAACTGTGACATTGCGAACTGCAGGTAAATACAATATTATATTATTTTGTGTACACTTAATTCTCCGATTCTCCTCTTGTTTTATTTTACTTAGTGTGTAATAATTATTATCGTTGCCACGGCCGACGAATCGCGCGGGATATTTGAATTTGTCGTATTAACACTTTGTGGAATAAACCATTGAACCGTATACTTGATCCTGGGTCGTTCACCTTGACGATGGTGACAAAATGTACATTTGTACAGAGAACCCTATTTGAGAACCGTGAAATTTGATTTAGAGTACGGAGAAAAATCCGTAGAACAGTCGTCGGTATTCTTGTATTGTTATTAGATAATTTCTGGAAAATAATAGAATTGCTGTTTCGTTTTATTATTGTACTACTCTACTATGTATTATTATGAGATACAGTAGGAGTACACACGACGGTTGCATTTAATAATAATATATATTTGTTAGTAGTATGGTCCGCGTTTGGGATTTATGTTGTTTGAACACCAGTACTTGGCATTTTTACCCGGTAACAGATATTTTGTACTCGGAACTCCTCGCATTATTCGTGTACTTAGAGTGAATTTATATACGTATATAAATTTGGTAAATAATAACTTTTTACTTTGTCAAGCACGGTCTGAAAACCCATATAACAATACTGAGCTATACGCAATATTATATTATATACAATAATGATTTATTATTTATTATTGTTATTCCAGTAACTGCTGTAAATTGTATTTCGTCGGTTAGCTGCTTATTTATTTTTTTTTCTCTGTTTGTTTATCGTCGAGTTTGTGCATTACAAAGTTTTCTTAAAAATGTTTTTGGAAAAAAGAACTGTGTTGCGTTTAAAGGATCCGTTCGAGTGTAACGTCGTGGCTTACAATTCGATCATCTTGTTCGCGGAATTCCTTTTTATTTTCAAATGAAAAAAATTAAATAAACGTGTGTGTGTGTACTTCAATATAATATTTGTGAAAATACGTGACATCACGGATTATGAAATAAATCATTAATGGAATGGCCCAAAACAAATTACTAGGTGTAATACGTGACTGCTAGATTTGACGTTTGGGGTTTGCATTGATTGTTATGTTACAAACGCCTGTATGCTTTTATCACGTGATTGCCCTCTGTAAGGTTTTTTTTTATTTTTCAAAAACCTCAATAGCTTTTTTGATTTAATTTTTTTGAAAAAACGTTGTGCGTAAAAAAATGTAATTTCAAGTTTATAACGTGTATATGATATTATAAAAGTCTTGCACGACAATACAATGATTACAATAGTGTCTAAATATAGCCAGACGTGTCCACAGTGGCCAAGCTAAGATATATATCATCAAAACCTAATCGTTTTTGTTATTTTTCGAGTCGAGTAAATTATTGTGTTGATGATGAATTTTACAGGAGAACTTTTTCTTTTCCGTTTGATCCCAAAGTCGGTTTCTTATTGTTCTAAGGCTTCGACCGTTAAAATTTGTACAGAAAAAGAAAAATGTCTGACCATTTTAGTGCAGGTACCTTTAGTGTGTGGGATACACGGAATGTATATAATAATATAAAGAAGTCGGTCAGAAACTGGTTAAAAAGGTTCTCATGGTCTCGGACACAAAATGAAATACACATATTTGTGAAACCCTCGTATTTTATCTGAATATCTCTAATGAATAAATATTTTCTAATCGTATATATTATATTATATGCTCGGTTGCATTAAAACGCATTATGTAAATGCGCTTTGTTATACTATGTCCACCAATAATAATTTCTGGTCACGAGCTGCTGTGTTTAAAAACAGGGTTCGTTAAACCTCTAATGAACGCGTTTATTAAAAAAAAATAATCTTGTACTAGTTTCGAATCGTCTTGTAAGATCATTCATCAACAACATGTTGGTGTAACTCGAAATGACATTCATGGGAAACTCACAATTATGTAGAGGAGAGAAATCATTTTTTAAAAAATCGAAAATTATAATAAAACAACATACATAAGTTATAAAAAGAAAATAAAGACGAAAGACATGGAATGCTTCTACAAAATAATTTATTTACTTGAAAATTCGCACGATAAATCATCTTATATGTGAACATTTTGAGTAAAGATTTTAGTAATTGACGTTTCTTCATTTGTGGACGAGTCGCGATGATTAGAGACTTGATGAGTGTTATATGATATTCGCCATCCGAATTTAATCGAAAATTTTATATTAACACCATTATCCGTTTGAATTAATTACGTTTGTAGCAATTACAAAAAAATGCTCGCACCATAACCACTTGATAGACCGACGATTTTCTCATTATTTTTTTTTTTAATTTAGTCAAGATAGATTATTTAAAATATCCTACAATAATTATTGCGTTCTATGAAGTGTGTATGACTGTACAAGAAGATATAACGTGATACAAGTTGGTGATTCACGTTCTTAGTAGAAAACCTATGAATAAACCTACTGGATATGTGAATCCCAGATACGTCGTCAAAAATATATAGGAAGCCGTCGTTTATTGTACTCGAATAGGTTTAGAGTCAAGGGAGAATAAATTAGAGGGGGGGGGGGAATGACTTTAAGGGGATTGCATGCGGTTGGTTTTTAAGGAGTTTTGTATAGGCAATATTTAAGAACAAAGTGGTTTTAATAAATTTCGATCATGTCAATTAATTAACCGGTTAATTTGTATAAGCTTCATGGTATTATTTTTAATTTAAATTATTTTGTCTATGAGTAAAAACCATTTTAGTTAATATAACATACTTTTTTTGTTCCATCGCACATGCTGAACCAGTGATTCGATAAGTAATCTGAAAACAGATTTGAATTCGTCATGAAGTTTACTTGTGATCGGTCAGGGTACTTTTTTGATATCTTATTCCTACTATGTATAAAACACGTTTGAGTATTATACAAAATTTCAGATTTTAAAATCAAATTCGGAAAGGGTTAAAATTAAAAATTGAAAAAAATTCCCTGACCGATCATAAGTAAACTTCATGGCGAATTTAAAACTGTTTTTAGATTGCTTATCGGATCACTGGTTCAGTCTGTGCAATGGAATAAAAATGATGTGTTTTGACTGAAAAAACCGACCGCATGCAATCCCCTTAAACCCGGTTTTAATATTAATAATTAAGTCTGTTTGTCAAGAACTACGACTAGAACAGAAGTTGTGTGCTTGTTCTTTCTAATCGGGCTTAAAGGTGGTTGGCACCACCTGTAGAGTGGTTCGTGGATGTACTATGCCTCTAAGCTAAGGAAAAGGGGAGTGTTATAATAATTGTTGAAAATGCATACATATATTATAACAATTTCACCGTCTGTTCGGCGTGTAATCGAATCCTCGTTTTGCATATTTTCGGTACCCAATAGTTACGCAAGTGCACGTTCTTTGGATTTTTGTTTTTCCATAGCCGTAGTATAGGTCTCATTAACAGCAGTTGCCCATTAATTATCTCTGTCTGTTACACGAGCGGTAAATAAACAAAACCCGGCACACGAGGCACACCGAGTGAGGCCGGAGAGGTCACGGGTCTGTAGGTATTATTATGACTGGAAGTGATAACATCGCTCTAAAAAAAAAAAATAAAAAAAAAAAATACGTTTCCGATGCCAAGCGATGATATAAAAATTACAAAAAAAAAATCACTATAAAAGCAATAATATATGATATGTGCGTCGGTTGGTTTTGGGGGTTATCAAATAGAGATTTTTGAAATTGCCTCCAATTATTATTGTAAGTCTAATTTTCAGACTTGGAGAATTTGTGTGTGTTAACGACCGTCGCACAATTTTTTTTTACATCATAAAATAAATTACTGGTTTGTTAATAATTAATTATTATTAAACATCAATCGAGGTCGTTATTCGTAGATCACATTAAGTGCCCATAAGTCATTTTAATTTAATTAGCATACAAATGCGTTCATCTATGGTTGTGTACGATGATTTAATTGATCTCAGATTGATTGTCGGTCGAATCTTTTTGTCTGTTAGTTACACACAAAGCCTAGTGTATAAATTTTAATTTCTAAATCGTTTTTCTCAAAATCATTAATCGAATATCGCAGCGAGGTGTTGTGTGTTTTTCAAATATGCGCTATATTGTAGTAGTCAATAATAACAATAATAATAATAAACCAAATGTTTGCTATGCGATTTGTTTGTAAACGGTTATTATTTCAGTAATTTGCCCGACGGGAAAATCGGAAAATTCTCGATTGGCCGGTTAGTATTTATTCAACAGACCAAACTGTATAATATATGTTTCCTTTAAAAATAATTTTTCTATTATATAATTTCTAGTATCCAATGTTGTTTGAGTTAATTATCAATTGGTTTGTATACGTATATTCTTATATTTTGTTTGAAAATTTAGTTTTCGAGATTTGTTTTCTTTTTTAAGAAATTCCCAATTAAAAAAAAATTATTGTGCAATTAGCGCCTCCTGCAAAAAGGTATTGATAAAAACCATCCTTGTATTCAAAAACGGTGTCAATGTAATGATATTTGCGATGCAAATGATTACCGCCTGTCACAAGTGCTACTCGATGGACAGAGATTTGGAGATTTTTGTTGTTCTAATTTGACCCTAAAAGTTTAATAAATTACAAAGTGTGTACGGTTTAGTTAATTTTTTTTTTGTTTTGTTTCAGTTATTCACGATTTTAGTTTGTCACCATCTAACGTAACGGTTAGTTCAGAAGCTAGTCGGGCTGCACTTCGGTTTTCTTGCTCTGTCCATTCTGTACCCGAAGCGAAAATTATTTGGTTAAAAAATGGGGTTGCAGTGTCTGAAGACGATAAAAGGTAATCAAACTGAGTAAATAAAAATATTTTTTTACTAATTTTGATCATTATTTGTAACGTTTAGGTTTATAACTACGATTCCCGGTGTACTGTATATAAAAAAGGTTGTCGATAGCGATGATGGAGAATACAAGTATGTGCACAGTAGTTGATAATAGCATTTCTATTTAAACCATTTATACTTTTTATTGAAATCACTAATTATTTATTAAATCCTTTGCTCAGATGTGTTGCAAAAAATCAATTGTTAAACAAAACAAAAGTAAGCGCCCCCGGTTACCTTAACATTGAAAAGATGAAACCAGGGTCTTCAGATTCTCAATCGAGTATACAGCCATTGGCGTTTATATCGCCTTCGATAAAACCGGTCATTCAGTTTGTGACTATGGGCGATAATGTATCATTTGAATGCGCTGCCACGGGCGTGTCATCTCCTTTGCTCAACTGGTCGTTTACATCTTCGACAGGTTTGCAAACACATTAAATGTTAATAGTATTGACGACGATTGGTGTGCACCTGCATAACTGTGTGAACTATTTTTTATTAGGCAACAAAAACAGAGTTATCCTTAAAGAAGACGAAGCCGTTAGTATTTTGAGTTTGACCAATGTCAGCGTCAAAGATTCTGGCACTTACACGTGTCACGCGTTTCAGACTATGACAGGGTGGCCGGACTTCCCACATGCTCAAGTAAAAAACTATTGAAAACTATTTTACATTATACAGTAGTGTGTTAATTTGAATTGAAATGCGCGTACATAGGTTTTCCGATTGGAAGTTATGACGCCTCCTACTATTGTCACTAAGCCAGAAACTCAAACCGTGCCCATAGCCAATACGATTCGCTTTAGATGCAGCGCCGAAGGAAATCCAACGCCTAACATAACGTGGTATCACAATGGCCAACTTTTAAAACCGCACGGTGAGTACTGCACTAATATAAATTGCAAATTTTACTATTGTTTATTTGTATGATTATTTGATTGTTGCATGCATTAGGTCGAATCAAGCTCAAAGATAAATATTTATTAGTAAGTAATACGGTATCAAACGATTCGGGTGTCTACCAGTGTTTCGTGTCAAACCAGTACGGGACGACTTGGGCTGGCGCGGTATTTTCCATTAGTTCGTCACCATTCGAACCGGCACCGCCGATAAACATAAGTTGTCGCACGTTGTCGTCGACCGAAATCCAGGTGTCTTGGCGAAAGTCGCCCACCGACATAACCAACGATCCACCAATCATAATTCGAGATGAATCTTTCCAACTTACGCCTTCTCATGTTGGAGCTCCGTCATCCGCCGCAGCGTCTATCGACACCACCAGCAGAGTCGTCAGAGCGTACACGATACATTACATGCCAACTGGTAATAAATAGTTACCTCATTTTGCGCTTGTTATGATACAAGATTGATGTTATTATATACTTTTGTAGACGGCGGAGAAGAAGCGCAAGCAGTGAGCGTAAACCATTCTATAGTTGTGGAAAAATTGAAACCGTACAAAAATTACACTTTTTACGTACGGGTGTACAATGGTAAATCTGGTTCTGATCAATCTGAAAAAGTAACGTGCAAAACTCAGGACGGAGGTATACATATATTTTATGTCATTCTGTATAATATCCTGAGTAGCCGAGAAATTTTTCAAAAATGTATGTTAAACTTTAACGATGTTACATTTTTTGTTGTTTTATGAACTTTTTTCTCAAAAGGTTTATTTTTGTTACCTATTAAAATATTTTACATATTTTGCTTTTAATAAACATAAAAACAATTTTTGCTTTGCTACTCTTGGGATACGTTAGTTGTTTTATTGTTGAATTTTATTTAATCCATAATTGTGTATATTTCAGTTCCACAAACGGTACCAGAGTTAGCCGTCACTACGCTTAGTCCAGTATCGTTGCTCGTCGAATGGTCTGCAATTCAAATAAACTTATCTAATGGAGTGGTCACTCAATACCAAGTAATGTGGCGCCGGTACCACGGTTCTTCTAATTACATACAAATGTTACCCAAGAACGTTTTACAATACACAATAACAGGTACTTTGTAATAAAGAAAACTTGAAATGTTTTGGAATAAACATCATATTAATTAATGACTGTTTTTTTTTTTTTTAGGACTCAAATCAGGAGCACAGTACGAGGTTCAAGTGTTAGGCGTCACGCAAAATGGTTTACCTAATTTTGATTTTTCTTGGCAATTTGTCGAACTACCCGAAATTAATCCTATTCTACCTATGCCCATACTAACTTACGAAGTCGGTAAAACAATAAAGGTTAGTTGTATGTTTATTGGTTACGGCTAAAGTGCAAGTATAAATAACGTGTGTTTTATCTCGTAAACACGTTAATGTTGTCACATTTTTGTAATGTAAAAATAGCATATTATATTATTTAATAATATATTTTTTTTTAATTTGTTTAGCTTTCGTGGCATACCAGCGAACCTTACATAAAATTTGACTCGTACAAGCTAATGTATCGACTTTCCAATCAAACAAATCAATTTGTCATGACGGTTAAATCATTCAGGCCGGACATCAATCAGCATACAATTCACTTCACGAGTAATGGGACATTTTACTCATTAAGTTTTGGGAAGAATTTGAATTTTGAAACTAAACAATAAACTATTTTTTTTTTCTCAATTAGATTCCATGGACGTTTACGAAGTATTATTGAATTGTGTGTCCGATAGTGGTGAAGGAGAGTCTGTCTCTACAACCATATCGGTGTTATTGGAAATACTATCTCCGCCGACTCAAATAGAAGCCATTGCGACTTCCGTGTTCACTTTGAATTTGTCTTGGGTTCCTCCCAGCACGGATGATCCAACATCGCTGTTATATATTATCTCATACAGCGGGTTGTCCAATGCTTCGCAAAATTCAACTACAGTCACAACTGATCTGTAAGTATCACTAACCGATTAGTTGATCACGATAGCTTAATTACCAATGTTTTTGTAAAATTAGTGGCGCATCGTCTTTTGAAATCACCGGTCTTAAACCTTACACTCTGTATGAAATCAAAATTTCCACCCAAGACAAAAACAATCGTAAAAGTGAATATAGTCAAAAAATACAAATACGAACACTCCAAGGAGGTAAAAAAAATATTGTTAAAAATTGTTATTACAACTATTCAATTAAAACGTCATATTTTTAGTTCCCGGCATCGTAGAACAAATTGTATCTCAATGGATAAACACCAGTACCGTTCGTATCAGTTGGGTAGAACCTGTAAAACCCAACGGCATAATTATGGGCTATTACGTGTCTTATACGTCTGAACTGAACATACCGCTCACATCTTGGCCACAGTTGAATGTATCGCGAAATAAATACTATCTAGACGTGAGTAATAATAATCGACTTTTTTTAAAATATATAATATTGTAAAAATACCAAACTTATTACTTATTACTTTTTTTTTTTGTAAAAATTTAAAGCTGTGCGATCTGAACAACGATACAAGATACTTCTTCATGGTGCGTGCCGCTACCGACGCTGGTTTTGGACCGCAGAGCGGAATATTTTCTATTGAGCCGCTGTCTGCCGTGAAAGATTCATCGAACAAGTCTGTCCATCCGAACGAACAACCTGCAGTGTACATGGAAGACGACCAGTTGCTGGGTATAGTTATCGGTTGCGTGATCGGCGTTTGCTGTATATTGATTTGTACTACGAGCATAGTGCTTAAACGACAGTGCATGAAAGCCGAACGAATCCGAGTGGTGCAACAAAACGCGTTGGCCAACGACGTGGCTTCCTGTCCGCTGCACATACAACCGATCGCCGTTGATAACGTACAACACGAGGAGAGCGTGCCCTTGAACGATGTCCACTACATCTCGAGGCACGGCGACAGCAGGAGTCGATACCCGAACAACATATCCGGGATGTCGTTGCCTCTCTTGGAACAAAGCAGCTTTGGGGAACACGACCTGTCGAACATGCACATAATTGAAAATCCCCAAGTAAATTGATATTACCTTAAATATATTGTTTTTCAAATGCAAATTTTATAGGGAGATGTTGTTGTTATTGTTACAGTGTACGATCGATGTGGAAGGCTACGACGTGGACAGTTTGTTGAGCGAATCAGCCGAAGGCGGTGCCGGTACCGAAGAATCTGGTTGCAGCGACCAGTTGGCCAAAAGCCAAAAGGGCGGTGATTCGAGTGTTATCGACGATGGGTTTCACGAACACCTCGAGCCAAATAAAGTAACAGCTGTCAGGTGATTGTATCCAACAAGAACAACGTGTATACTTTGTGCCAAAACGTGTGCTATGTGGGCTCCTGAAAAGTTCACGAAGGTATTTTTTTATTTTTGTTCACGCTGAGAACAAAAAAAAAATCACTTCGACAACCGTGCCTACGCTTTCGACTTCTCTATGAATCGGATTATGCAGGAAATGTAGACGAAAACATTGTACGTTGATACGACGGATATCGGTTACCTTAATCTGTTTTTCTTTTGTTATTTTTTTTTTTAAAAATTGACTGTTTGAAATTATTCTTGTTAACCAACCATTCTTACTTTTTTCGTTTTGTTTTGTTTATACATAATGGATATTTTAGTATCTCGTAACAAAACATATTTTCATTTTGTTTGTTGTTTATTCCAAGCTCTTTATTTTCATAAGACCTATATAAGAACTTGTGTTCACACATTTTCGTATCATTTATGGACACGGAAAATTGTGCAAAATGTGTATAAAAATAACAAGCGATCCTACACGAGTCTTTTTTTAAAAATAGATTCAAAATCATCTCGGTTCTCTAAATCATATATTATAATAACAAAGTGAGATTTGTACAAGTGTTAGTTTGATATACAATATTGTTAATTTATTTTATAAGCGTTTTCTTAAATATTATTTATTTAGAGGATGTCACCTGACCTCAAAAATATAGTACAAATAAATATATATATATATTATGTAACCTAAATGTACATTTTATGATATAATTAAGAACTCTACCAAGTATTTTTTTTTTTATTTATTTATTTACTTTTTTTTGGTGTGTAGCTTATTATTGCCATTCAAAATCGTTTGTTCCAATTTCTTTAAAGTTTTATTGTGGCGTCATTTGCCGTAGAATGTTGCTAAATTAAACAATACAAATTTTTTTTAATCATACATTTTGATCGTACCACGTCTGCGTCGGGGTTTACTTTCAAAGTACATCACAACTCATAAATAAGCAACTTGTTGTGTATTAATGGCATCACAAACAATAAAAATAAAAAAAAACCTTATTAAGTTAATTTAGCACATTCGGCTAAGGTGTTAAACATTGTTGATAAATTATATTTATTTGTTTTTCGAACGTACAACTTACAATTTATACATAGTTCCTATTATCAATTAACATTTTTTTTTTTTTTAAATAAAAGAATTGCAACAGAACTTTTTCTTATTGAGATTTAACAATGGATCTCAAACGGCGGTAAGAATCGAAACTGTTCTTTTGTAGTCTTAAACATATTATAATAATATACACATAAGAGTCAATTACATTTTATCGCTATTGATTACGCATTATTTATTAATATTCTAAATGGTATAGACATTTGTTCCCTTAAACACACATTCCAATTATGTTTTTATTAATACATTTTTTTTAAATCGGTGTACTTAGTAGTATGTTATATTTCTGTATATTATTTAGTATTTATAAATATGTATTAATTACATTTATAAACGAGTACAAAGTATTTTTTTCCTGTTAAGTTTTATTTGCCACCACCATTTATTTGTATCGATACTTTTATTTTATACCATTAAATTAAAAAATAATCCACACTTTTTGGACTATTAATAACTATGTTTATAACTTATACTCTGTTTGAACTAAGAAAACGGTCGTAAACAAACAACTTACTGATGGCATTCAATTAGTGTAACAGTTTTTTTTTTTTTTTTATTATTAGTTTTGACGACACCTTTGTACCTGATAGGATTAAACAGCATTTAAAAACAAAACACTTACTTGTATAAAAATCAGTCGGGGTCTCTGTTACGAAACACGGGGTAAACGCTATTATTGTTAATTATTATTAACTTGTACTATATAGTATATGAATACAATATGAAGGTTTATATGTGTATTCTAAGATTATTTTGTTAATGGTAATTTTTATTTAAGGAAGGAGAAACTAAAATGTAATTTTTCGCTGTAATGTAAAAACTATATTTGCACTCGATATTTGTTTTCGAATAAACTAAATTTAATGTTTTTGGTGTTCACTGTTGATCAATGTGTGTAAAAATATTATTCAAAAGTATATGTATATTATATATGTTTATTTATTTTTTATTTTTGGTATACAGTGTTTAAAACAGTAATAACGCGTGTTAAAATTATTATTCTATTCGTGTTATTGATCAACTATAAGGTTCGGTCGCGGTCATTTTTTTTTTTTTTTTTTTTGAAGTATTTTTGTACAATACATTTATCATGTTAACGTCGCGTAACATTTGAAAACAAATCGAGGCACTTTGGGTAGCTCTCAAATAAGTATACTGGTTGAAAAACTCTAGTTATAAGTAAAATAAAACAAGCTCATTTATTAAGGTGCTTTTATAATAAAAAAAAAAATTGTAACAATATACAATTTATTGTTTTGTTTGTTTATAAATGTTTTTTTTTTTTTTTTAAGGAAAAAAAAAAGAATTATTTATCGTAATTGTAATTATATATGTTTAATAAAGTATATATATATATATATACAATGCATTATAATAACACATACAAAGACTGCAGCCACAAACCAATTAAAAAGTATTAATTGAAATATTAATTTTTATTTTGTGTAGTGGTTAACAAAGTCTATTTAATAAATCCATTCCATTGAAAAAAATAAATTTCTCTAACACTGATATTTAATAGTACAAATTATTTTTATATTTATGTTGATTATTTATTATTATTACTATTATGTTTTTTTTTTTTTATATATATGTAATGAATGAGCATTAAATCTGGCTCACGTACCAATATATTGTTATTTTATATTTTTGTTATTTACAATAAACTAAAGTTATAAGCTATGTTCTATTATAAATAGATTCTCTCAAAATCACATTATCCCAAAGCAATAATACATAATTGTAACGACTTCTGTGAAATTGTTTTTTTTTTTTTTTTTTTTAATTGATTTTAATGTCTTGTAAAATTGGTTTTGGGATATTTTTGAGGTTTATTTGTTGTATTATGTTTAGCTACACTTTAGTATTATGTTTGTTCAAATTTGGTATCAAAAAAAAAAAAAAAAATTGTATATTTATATTTACAGATTAATATACATTTTCTTTTACCTTGTTGGAAATTTAGCAAGTCGTTGCAGTTTTGTTTTATTATTATTATTTAATTATAATTGATATTATTATTACTATTGTCTTAATTTATGTTGATTTACTTATATTTTTTAATCAAGTTTTTGTTCCAATGTGTGTTGTACGTGTACTTCAATTATATTTTGATGAAAACTGAAAATAAACACATGTTTTTTAAACGAACTGGTAGCTTTAGTTTTTAGTCAATGAAGAAGGACTACATTGTTTTCGTGTTGTATAAACTTGACTAAACTGGTGGTTTTTCTGGAAATTTTATTTTTGATTGGAGCTTATAGTAACAACATGTTTGTCCTAATTTACCAAAGTCTGAGATGATATTTTTTTCAGGTTTCAAATTATTGAAAATGACAATTACTTTTTCCGTTAACTTCAATAATGGCGAGCATTATATTTTTGGGTGACAATAAATGAGTTGATTAAGTAACAATTGAGCACAATAATGTGTTTATCTCAACGGGTCTCGTGAAAACCAAAATAACTAATAAACTAATATTTATTTAAACGCTGATAAAAAAAAAAATAATAAAAAACCGCTAAATTTAAAATGTTCGAAACGGGGTGACCCATCGTGCACAAGGGGTGGTCACAACAATTGGAAAGTTTCCCTTCTGGTTATTCCGCGGTCAAAATTAATACAAGATGGCGGTCGTGGATAATTTTTTTTTGTTTTGTTTACAAGTCCCGAGAAAAAAAATTACCAATACAATTCGATATACAATATTGAAATTCACATTATTCGTATTAAACCCGCAAATAGTTTTTGTTTTGACGATATGCGAGTAATTTCGCCCAATGTGTTACAAACTTAAATATTATTCGCACGGTTTTTGTCTTGTCGTCGTCGGTGTGGTGTTGTGCGCGTTTGGTAAGTATTATCGTTCGGCTGCAAAATTGTTTTTTTTCCCCTTAAAAGTACACCGCCGAGGTTAGGTGCAATACGATATAGCGGCGAACGCGGTTTGAAAATAAATTGTTTATAAATAGTACCCGCCGAGGAATGCTGCCGGGCAGTAGTGGGTCAGTTGCCAGCACGTCGAGTTCGCCGCTTACAATATATTATACACCGGCCAGTCCAATTCCGTTTGCACTTTCGTTCGGGATACACACAGGATAATATACACAGCCCGCACTCAAAATGGTAAGTACACACGGACGTCTCTTGTTTTTTTTTTCTTCTTCTGATAATGTTCTCCGTGCTAGGCCGTAGCTTATAAATTCGTTTTAGCCCCCCCGAGTAGAGAATTTTATTTCGAAATTTGTTTTACCATAAATATTCCAAAGGATTTAGCCTCCCCGACGATCCCCCTCGTGCTTACAATCCCAAGGGAACGCGCAGACGTCACTTGAATGATATTAGGATAGTCTAGTTTTGAAACCGGCTAAAAGTTTATGAAAACGTTTCTTCTTTTTTCTCCCCTGTAAGTGGCCACACTGTATCACACGGGGTATGTTCAAACAGCTATGTTTGAATATCATATTATAACCAACTCAAAACTGTGTTGGAAAAATCTTGGTTGGGTTCAAAATCGCCCATCTGAAGAGATCATATTTTGTTGTTTGTGAACATTTTCAAAAATTGCTTTAGCTAGGTTTTGAGACTACATTGGACGTCTCAATTATTATAGATATTTAGCTCTCATAACATAATTTCTATTACTCAAGTATTTGGAGTCATGCACAATTTTCATATTTTGTTTCACATATAATTGGTACATAATATAATATAATATGTATTTTTTTCCCAAATTGTATATCTTGAACGAAAAAGTCATATTATACACTATAAAATAATAACCAATGAAAAAAAAATGTTGATTTATCCAGAGTAGGCTGCGTAGGTACCTGTACTTAGTTTTTAATAAGATAAAAATAGTTTTTTTTTATACGTATGGTTTATTTACAGCTGTTTTATTTTTTTTACTAGGCCGACTTATCAAAAGCCGATTTGGACCGTGAGTATTAATTTTTTTTTTTTTTACTAGGCTGTGTGATTAAAATCACTTCTGACCTCATTTAATGTGTCTTTAATTATGGATTTTGTTAGCGTTTGATCTTTTTATATCGATCAGTTTCGTAATAACTAACGTTGCCAATACCGTAAAATAAAAAAAAGTTACCATTAAGGGCTGCATGCACGGCTATGATATAATTTTAAAAAAATGTCAACTAAATTTCACTGAGAAGTGAAGATATACTTAAAAATAATTGTCCCATTAAAAAAAAAAAAATATATTTATCTATTTTTACTCCATGTTTTGGCAGGAAATCAAATATGAATGACACAACCGTTTCAATACTATTTCTTTAATATTACACATTTAACAATAAATGTACATGAATTAATTTTTTTTAAATATAATTTTCACTATTCCTCGAAAAAATAAAACATTTCTTATAATTTTTCTAAATTTTTATGACCTCTCGATGGATTTCTGAGACGTTTTGAGTGTGTTTTCTAGGCGTTAACTTCGTGTGGTCGATCTACGACAGCACCAATGAAGGAGTGGACGCTTTCTACATTGGAGACATTCTCCGCGCTTTGGAATTAAACCCAACTCTGGCCACCATCGAAAAGATGGGCGGCACCAAGAAGAAGGGTAAGAGAACACAACAATCATAACACCTGTAGTATCGGTTAATATATTAATTATATTAACTTAAACCGGTTAACATTAGACCAAGAGGCGAATTATTGGGAGAAAACAGAGACCATAGTGTTTTTGGATTTTTTAATTATTTCATATAAAAATCCGGTGTTAGAGGGTGATTGAGGGGATTTAGATGCTGTTATTTCTCGAGACGCGTGTCCGTGCACTTTTCAAAGACGTAAGACATTAGGCCTCGTGTATAGTAGACATTAACAAATAATAACAATACCTCAAAATGCAGGCGAAAAGAAAATAATGGCCGACGAGTTCTACCCGATCTTCTCGCAAGTGTCAAAGGACAAGGACCAAGGAGTGTACGAAGACTTCATCGAATGTCTTAAGCTGTACGACAAGGCCGAGGACGGTACAATGGCCGGCGGAGAACTGACCCACATCCTGTTGTCTTTGGGTGAGCACACGCGATCGTCGTCGTTAGGGCTACCTAACTGAGGTCCTGTCAAATTTGCCCCCCTTCCCCCCCCCCATCCCGTGCCCGGTTTCACCTTATTATTATTATGTGTGTTTTCTGATTTTCAGGAGAGAAATTGAGCGACAAAGAACTGGACGAGGCCGTCAAGGACTGCATGGACCCCGAAGACGAGGACGGTATGATCCCCTACGTTCGTGAGTACACTTTTTGATTATTATCATTTATCTATATACGTGTATTTTGTATTTCCCAATTCCCATCTGTTTGATTGTTGTACCCCCCCCCCCCACAATTTTGGATTCGTTTTGACAGTAAAAAAAAAAACCCCGTTTGACACCTATCCTCGACGACCTTGTGTTTTTTCAGCGTTCGTCAGAAGAGTGATGACCCGTTTGAGAGATATGAAATAAATTCCATTCTAATATTGTATTACAAACAAACCTACCACAAAAAAAAAAAAACCAAATGTAACAACCTCTATCCATCCAGACTCCAGTAAGTGCATACAAAAGTCAGACAAAGTAGCTTTAAAGTTTTCATTAACCGAGTATTATTTTTTAACGTTAACCGTAAACGTATATTGCTCTTGTACAAAAAATAATGCAGTTGAAACGCTTTTAATGTTTATTTTTAAATTCTATACTGGATTAGGGTTTTAACGAATTATAATATTTTTTTTATCAGCATAATGTAAAAATGAACATATATTATTATAAAAAACAAGTATGTCGACATTTACTCGCCTTTAATTAATAGTTAAATAAAGCAACGTAATTGTTCCTTATTATTAAATTCCATTTATGGCGGTCGGTCGAAAATGGTGTACCGCGTAAGTACTCAAAATTGTTGTTATTGAGGCGCCTTTGCAGCCCAAATTTGATATTCATTTATAATAGGAGTTAATGTGTACCTAACGTTTTGTTTTAAACATCGACAATAATTGACAAATTCATTTATTTTCTATTTAATAAATACAACTTAATTAAATCCAAATACCTTGTAAATTATATGCACCACTACTGTTTAGTTTAACCCGTATAACTACACCTAAACTTTCTAATTGTTCAGCGGCCTATTACTGTCCAGATTTTATTGTTTGTAACAATTTTGCCACCTTGTACAGGATGGGTCGCGCTATTTTCAAAATGTTAAATTTAAATTGCTCACAAGTTTGCTTTGTATTCGAATTTAATATACTAAAATAATTTTGGATGCAACCAAATACTAATATTGTGTCAACATTTGCTCATGAGTTCTAATAATATATTTCTGTTTAGTGTTTACTTCAATAACCTTAGACTATATTAATACACGCTGTAGCCAAAACTGTGCAGTCACTTTTGTATTTTGATTTGTCACAATATTGCGATAATACTATATTATCACGCTCAACGAGTGTTATCACTGAATAACCAGAAGGGAAACTTTAAAACAATTATACGGGTTAGGTCGCTTATTAAAATGTCGGGTCACTTATCAGTACCGGCCTAGGTTACCCTTCTGGTTATTCTGTGGTGTTATCAAAATATTGTTCGGGTTACAAAGATTTTTACTGGTAAGATGTGATTTCCGCAGCTTTGGCCTTTGATTATGGTAATATTGTAGTACAACATTGTATAACATCTATACAGAATACTGAGCGTGTTCCGGGTATAAACATAATAGTATCATCGTTGTTATATTAAATATATATTTTTGTCTACTAAATAAAATGAAAAAAAAAAAAACGCTATACTAACAATAAAAACGTTCCCCTAAAGCCAGTAAAATCCGGAACGCCGCGCCGTGTTCCGAGCAATAACTGTCTTGATAAAAGCATATTATTATTGTATTACTTAGATTACTCTTAGATTATTTAGTTGATTTATTATTTTTGCGTGTTACAGCATTTTTAGCCCGAATTTGCGACAAGCCGGTGCCGGAAAACGACAACCCGTTCGTCAAATAATAATAATCGGTCGACTTGTGGAAACCGTATAATATTATAATTCGCTCACGTGCACACTTGTGTGTACACAACAGTCGTCTATTCGTTATGTCAATAATATTTATTATATAATATATATTTTTTTTGTTTTTTTTTTTTTAAACTATTTACAATATTTGTAAAAAAAATATAATGATAATAATAATACTATATTATAACGCCGAATCGTGTACATATACATACATTGCTAAGAAAAAGAAAAAAATACATGAAAATAATAATTAATTTTTACTGTTCGACGACGTCGATAAGAAGATTTTTTTCTGTTCTTTTTGTCGTGCATTTTGTACAATATAATAGAATAATAATGCTGGACTTCCATACACGGCAATGCGGTCGTGTCCGAAACATTAATATTGTCAAACAGCTGTGCCAAAGTCAATTTTTAGAACAACCTGGACATTGACCAGCAGCAGCGGCTGATGTGTGTATGGGTTATTTTTATCACACGGCGCTATGGGTATGCAATCATTCGACACCGCTGTATGTCGAAGGTCGCCCGTCATAGTTTTACAAAAAAAAAAAATGTACCATAGCTGTCTGGCGATCGATAATTATTTTCCTCTTTTTTCTTTTAAGAGAAAAGTTAATATATAATATAATAATAATAATATGTCGGCCAGGCTCGGTTCGCCTTATAGACCCTGTTCACCTACACATAAATGTATAAAAATAGCGTTTAATAACTCTTATTTTTAGACTCTGAGGTAAAAAGAAAATCGCGTTCACTATGAAATGTCAATCGCCGAAGCAAATGGATGTTGACAATAACGGCGGCTGTTGCAGATTTAAAAAAAAAAATGAAAAAATCCACTCGGTTGATGATTGATTGGGGAAACTTCAGTAACTAGGTTAAGTTTGCGAAACGTCAAAATGTACAAGCAACAAGTCTTAAAAAAAAGTATACTTTTCACAACTCTTGAGCCCCCCCACTCGCGCTACCGTCACAGGTCTTAGTTGGTATACGAATATAACTTAATTTTTACAAAGTAATATATTTATATTTTTAGCACCGGGCGAACCCAGTTGACTGACATACGCAATATAAATAAATATGATCTAAACATTATAAAATTGCCTCGGTATTAATACAATTTGGCGATTGATTGGCGTTGAGCCACGAGCGTTAGCCAAAAATTATAATGTTTATGTTTACCTTCTTCAGCGCACACCACGTGGCTTTTTCGGTAAGCTTTCATTTTTGTATTTTTGAATAATTCCACCGATGGGTCAATGCAATTTTATTTTCCACATATCTTCGAGACGGTGTGTATTAAATTTAGATTGTACATTACATTGTCAATTTAATATTAGGTCTTAAATAAATATTTACCAACTCAGTCCGGGCAAATCGTCATGTCGCGACGTTGTGCTATAATTTAATGAGCTTTGTTTTTTTTAATTTCAATCTTTAAATTAAATGATTTTTTTCGTTTAATGTGCATTTTCCATTAGGGTACGGATGATGGCGGCAATATCAGAAAATTATATTTAACTCTAGTCGCTGGTCATAATATCTTTTAGCTATCATACTTAGCTGCTATCTTGCTTGTAACTGTTCAGTTGCAGTAGGTAACACATTTTGATAGCTAACAAAAAACAAATAAAATATTACCACCTGTTAACGGGTTTCAATACCTAACTATAATATTATTATGCGGTGTTTGTACAAAATGGGTTAAGCTAAAATTATATGTATTTTTCTTTTGTTTGAACAAATTGCTGAGAAAATTCACTATTATTATACGATTATAAAAAGTAAATGTTCAATAAAAAGCAGTAAACAAACCAAAAAAACACCTCGAGAACTTGTAAAAAATAAATAACCGTCACTTGAAGACGTTAACCAGTAGGTATATTACAGTCGCTGTTTACCAAAGCTTCGATACGAAAATGGACGTGAGTCATGTCAGCGTTACGTCACAGAAGTCATGTTGATTATCACGAAAAATTGCGTGCTTAAAAGAAGCACTAGTAAGTACATCTAATGCCGATAATGGTGTAGAACAAAAGAAAACTTAAGCCGAGGACAAATTAACATTGTGCGTCGTACGTCACGTTTAAAAAATGCTAAAGAATGTCCTTTATTTATTTTTTAAAATTGAAAATCGATTCAATTACCTCGGCTGCTTGCAAATGGGAAAAAAGACTTCTACAGATTTTATAAATATTTTTTTTGTATTTGGTTGTACCCAAGTTAAATAGTAAAATGATCAGTTTGAATTATACGTTTAAAACACGGGTTTATACACACATGACTTGTTACAATAGCGTTGTTATTCGACTTGGATTAAAATAATTTAATTAAATCCTAAAATGGCACGACGATGATACATTTGTGGCTTTTAACTGCAGATTGGCTATAGCTATAGCTAAGGAATTTAATTTAAATGTTGTAAGATAGTTATCAACGGATTTCAAATGATTTATGTAATCAAAAAATGCACTAATCGCTGAACTAAATAATTACACAATTCACAGTTTAAGCATGGGGCCTGTGTTTTTTTTTTTACCTTTTTATACCAAAAAGCCAGACAAAATTTCGACTACGAGTTCTTTGGAAATTTTACTAGGTAGAAACTTTACCAAAATGAAAAACCTCTTTTTTCCCCATAAATATTGCTTATACAAAACTCCTTAAAAACAAACCGCGTGCAATCCCATTAAGAGGGCGTCGCATCACCCATTTTTAAGGAGTAAAGTATAGGCAATTTTTTACAAAATCTTAATTTAAAAGTTTAACTGTGATGTGTAATTATTAGTTCAATAACTAGGACTCTATTTTGGCAGTTAATTATCACAGCATCTTCGAAAGCGATTTAAAAATGTTTTTTCATCTCTACTTGCTTAAGCAGACTGAAAATAACTCGCTTAATTTTGGTTTTGGAGTAAAAGCACTCATTATAAAATTAAAAGAGTACAATAGTCCGGAGGGCAAGACGGTGCGTTTTTTTCATTATTCCAAGTATAACGCTCAACACATAGTTTAGAAATAACGACTACTTTAACACTTTTGAATGACTGTAACTTTTCAAAAAATGATTTTTTTTTAAAAAAAAGCACCGTTTTGCTACTCTGGAATATTGTTTTGTTTTAATTTTATAATCGGTGCTTTTACTCTAAAACCAAAATTAAGCGTGTTATTTTCAGTCTGCTTAAACATGTTTTTACCACTGAACATCACCGGTGCGACGCCCTCTTAAGGAAAGAAATTCATACATATTATTTATGACAAAATTATCTGTGTTCCATCATTCGTATTTTTTCGATATACCTAACACAACCAACGCTATATCATTTTTAAAAAAGTCCTTTCTTAATTAATTAATTATTCATTAACTGGTTGAATAGGGCGATGGTAGAACACAGACAATGTCGTTGTCTATATTATGTAAAAATTTGGTTTCTTAGTTTTGATTCAATCCGCGCATGGCGGGTTTTTTGAAGAAAATAACGGGCGTGTGACGTCCTCTTAAGGCTATACCGCTATAATGGTATATAAATTAAACATTATTATTGTTTGTCGTGTATAGATAAAACATATTGTAATACTTAAAAGTCAAGTCGCAAAATGGCCGTCGCTTTGAAAGTGACCCTTCTGCCGGACCGCGTCGGGGACACGGCAACAACAATGATAATAATACACAACAACAACAATGATAATAATATAGATCAGACGCCGCTCAGGAAACAGACGAGGTAGGAGATTGTGGCGGCGGCGGTGGAGCTTGCGCGCGCCTGCCCTGTAGCGGTGCTGCCCACGGTCGGCCAGCACAACAGCTGCCAGTGATTCTGCGTGCGAAGGCGCATCGACCGACCGACGGCGACACGAGCGACACCGCCGACCGCATAATAATACACACGATAAACAACAACAACAATGTGTAAAATAACATATTAGTATACACTAATGATAATAAATCACACACACACAAATAAAACCGTAAACAGCCGAAAAAAAAAAATAAACAGTGCATTTCGCGAGCAAACATCATCCGTCGACCGCGGATCGCGTATCGCATATTAACCGTGTGTGTGTGTGTGTGTGTTTTCAGCTTTTTTTCATAAGCTTTTTTTTTGTGTATACCCTGTGACACAGTGATTTTTATCAACTATACTTGTAAACTCTAGTACACTCCTCACACACCAGCGCAAAGGGGGCAGCCCTTTGTTTGACCGCCGAGGACGCGCCATGGCCGAAGCGACGGCTTCACCGCCGACGGTCGATCAAGGTAAGAACGTCATAATTTATTATAATAATAATAATAACAATAATAATAACACCATCGTTATAAAGCCCATAATATTGTGTATTGTGTACACGACAACAACACGCTGACAGTTAGTTATTAAGTGCACACACATAAACCGTTGTGACATTACACAAGTGTGTACAAAAGCTGTGTGACCGATATCGATTAGATAAGAGGTTCGACCTTTGCGGCGTCGGGGTTGCTTTCACTGTGAATTATTAATAAAGTAGTTGTACCGTATATCAACTGTAAACCGCATAAATCATCATGGTTTAAATTATAAACCAGCATAGTACTGTTAATAATAATAATATGTGGCCCAACGGCGGTCCTCTATGATGGATGTGATTATAATATTCATGTTGTAAAATTTCACGTTTTGGTTGCATAGGCGCAACTAGACTTACATTTTAGAGGATGCTAAAATTATGTATACCTACAAAATTCTTATCTTCACAAACCATTAGTTATGAAATAATATATTTGAGTACAATAATATTCTAAAATAAAAAATTTGCACAGAGAATGTACATTATTAAAGTTATATGCATACAAATCAACGATTAGGGTTTGACATTTTTGGGGGTTCTTAAGTCCCCTTAGCTATAGTCCCCCTTTGTTTTGTTATTATAATACTTGATTACTTGATTTTTTACTCATCGATGAAAACCTGATCAATGAAGCGTTATAGAAAAACAGAATAAAGTCATTAAGTAGTAAAAACTCGAGGTTTGATTTTTCTATTTACATTGTCCTTTTTTAATGATTTTTTTATGTTGGGCAAGTGTTTTTTTTTACATTATAACTAGAATGCTTGTACTTAATTTTATTGTATCTAGAATAATTGATTAGTAAATTCCGTAAATTAAATATTTAAATATTAAAAATAGCCTTAGTGACTTATTCTAGAATTAATTAATTACTCCATTGTCCACGTATTGTGCTAAATTTGTGTGTGCATTGACGTACAAATAATTTAACACCCAACTAAATTTCATTAACGCTTTCATTAGACGATGTTAATAGTCACGCGATAGTATTGACAACAATAAGGTGGTTTTTTTTTTAAATTTTTACTTTTCAAACACATGTAGTTAGAACCGTTAACTAATTCACCGAGGCTTGAGGATAACATAACATTAATAATTTCCATCCATGGGGCATGTTTATATTTAACTTGGATCGATTGACCCGTTGACCGCAGGCTATCGCATGACACTAATGTCTATTTTCACACTCTGGCGCAAAAAATGTATGTGCCAGTGGAGTATAGGTATAGCAGGAGGGTAGTTACCTATCTATAGGTCAGATCAGTTCAGCACTAATGGCGTTTGCCATTTAAAATGTTTTTACCAACCTAATTAATTTGGCGAACGTGACCAGTCGACGTTATGCAATTACTTTGTAAGTTTGCTGTTTTGTTTTCTAGTAACTTGGCAGCCAGACGAATTAAATATTTAGCTTTAGGTAAAGTGGTAATTTAGCAAACTTTACCCATCAATATACGACTCGGTAGGTATAAACCAATCTATTGATGTAATTTCACCGAAAATTTCAATGCCTTCAAAGCTTTGAATTGATTTTTTTACTTATTATTGGAAACATCATTTGTGTCGAGAACGTTGTCACCGACAATTTTGTAAATAGTTTCAAGGTAAAGACTGTATACATGACGTGTGCGTGCAATGCAATTTGTTCATGATGTACTTTATATGTGCAGCAAGCACAATAAGCCGCGTTGGGTCCGAATAAAGTTAAAGTCAAAGAAAATATGTCATCTAAACAAAACTACGCATATTATTAGACATTTTATTTTACTTTTTTAAACTCGTGTAATTAAATTAAATAGAATTTATGTTTTCTCAAAAAAATCCAGCCTGAGAATCTAGATAAAGTTCTTTTCTTTTTAACGATATCAAAATATGTTTTCTATGACCATTTCGCTTTGAACTACACTCTTTTCCATAAACACATCTTTACGATTATTTTCAAAGGGTATGACGCGTCCTCTTAAGCTCAAAAAATCAGTTATTTTCCTTAAAATAATTTTTATTTTGCAATATGGTTAGGTTAGGTTATGTTGATTAAAAAAAAATAAATACTCTTTTTTTTTTATTTATAGTTGAATGATTTATTAATTATTTGCATGGACACAGTTTTTGATTTTATTTTATTCTAATAAAAGTGTACATATATTGCGTGAAGCGCTAATTTTAAAAGAATTAAGATTATGCTTTATACATAATCTGACTGTTCGGCAATTGCGCGGCTGGTGTTGCTAATACTGTTGTCTTCTTAAAAATTCTGCAATTTAAAAACATATATGAATATCTACTTAGGATCATTCTGTTGTACATTACAGTGTACAGGGTAAATTTTTAGTAAGTTATTAACTCTCGTTTTGTTGGCAAGGATAAACTGTATAATTTATAATCAGTAAAAATAACTTAATGTGCAAAAGTCAACATAATTTGTCAAAAGTATAGGTTAACTCTAAGTCTAATAACATATTCTAACCTTGTCCTTCTTCCAAAGTTGGTAGTGGATGTGCTATTTTGGATGACTTTTTTTGATCTAATATTGAAAAAAAATATATAAATATATACTAGCTGCTCGTGTACCCGGCTTCGTACCTTACTAATAGTTCATTAAAAAATAATATTCTTTCAAATTACTCAGTGTATTCTTTGGAAAGACTTTTTTGGATTTTTTTAACTAAAACAATGAAAATAACTCACACTCTGGTAGTGGATACGCAGCTGTAAAACAAAAGGCTAGTAGTTAGTATTTAAATTATAAATGGTTATATTTTGGTGGTTAATATTTATGAAAAATGTTTTTCAAAAACGCAATTTAGACGATATATTTCAAAAAATTATTGTTATTAATATACACCCAATTGTTGAAACCGTTAATTCGTACACATAACGTAACATTTGTTAATAAATAAAAGTGATTCTAAATTTGTAAATAAAGAAAATAATTATAATGACTTAATCGACTTTGTGTTACCAGACTACTGTATACTTAAGGACGAAGCATTAATATTGTTCAAGTAGTAAATAGTTTAATCGGTATTTTATAGTTAAAAATATACACCTAATTGATAATTCGTTCAAAAATATTATTGTATAGAATTACTCAAGTGTATGCTTTGGAAATATTTATTGAATTTTTTTAGTAAAACAAAGGAAATAACTTACGTCTTAAAACACTCCAAGATCCATCTGTCCCTGAAAATCAAAAGGATTTTGATATACTTAGGTGTTTAATATTTATAAAAAAATTCTAGAACTATGAAATTCGAGTTATTTGTACACTTGTATAAATTCGGAAACAAAATTATGGTTTTAGCTGTATGATCATTACCGACCAATAATACCCTGTATACTCTAAAAGGATATTGTAATACTTAGTTGGTTAATATTTAAACATAATTCCCAAATGTACAAATTACTCATTGTATGCTCTGGAAAGATTTGTATGCTTATTTTTGGTGTTAACTAATGAAAATAACTTACATGGTTCTACTTGAGCCGCTGGAAAAAAATGTATAGTATTGAGTAATGAAATTATAAGTGCTTATATTTCGGTGGTTGATATTGAAACAAAATTCCCAAATGTACAAATTACTCAGTGTATGCTTTGGAAAGATTTGTATGTTTATTTTTGGTGTTTAACAATGAAAATAACTCACTTGGGTCCCTTACAGCATCTGGAAAAAAAAATGAGTAGTACTGATTAATGAAATTATAAATGCTTATATTTCTGTGGTTAATATTTATACAAAATTCCAAAAATGACTGTTATTTAAACTCTAATTATTTTTTATTTTATAATCAATAGTATCAAACGATGCAAAACTAGTTATCTCCTTGTCAACATTTTTAAGGCAGTAATATCACGCAACATTTTTTAAATAAACAAAAGTAATCATAAATACGCAGCTAAAAGAAATTATTATAATGACTATTTATCAATTGATTTTGTTCACCAAACCATTATATAATCAAGTATTAGACATTTATTTAAGTTCAAAAAATGTGTGTAATTACAAATTTGTAGTTTATATTTTAAAATATTTGTTTACTTTGCTTAAGAAAACCAAGAAAAAAAGTCACGATATATTTTTATTCGAAGACTTTTTTACCGCAACATATATAAATATTTATAATTTTGGTGGCTAATATTTATACAAAATACAGGGAAAAAACAGCTAAGTCACTTTTAAAAAGTTGCAATTTTTTTAAATAAAATTCGTTTTGATACAAAACGAACCAGTTCTTTACTTTTAAGCACGTGTATAAACTAAAGTATACAATATTTTTAAAAGTTTTAAGTATTTCTTTAACATTTTAAAACATGTTTTAGCATTACTTAAACATGTTTTATTTTAGATTAGAAAAAAAGAAATTTGCTGTTTTTTTCCCTGTACCCTTTATATAAACTCCTCTAGTTTTATTGGTATCTAACAACTCAAAACTGATTTGTATGCTTTTTTTAGTAAAAAAATAAAAATATTTTACCCGGTGGTGGTTCTTTTAGTTTATACGCAGCTGTAAAAAAAAAGGTAGTGGTGAGTAATAAAATTGTTATATTTTGGTGGCTAGTATTTATAAGAAATTTCAAAAATTATTGTTATTTATATACACCAGAGTGCGTTAACATTGCTACTAGCACCACAACAATGTACAAAAAATGCATTTTATTAAGTATTATTGTTGGTGATCTTAAAAAGTCATCTTAAATATGCAAATAAAGGAAATCATTATGACTAAATCGACTTTGTTCACCAGACTACTGTATACTTAAGGACGAGGCATTAATATTGTTCATATTATAAATACTATAATCTGTTATCTATGGTTAAAAAATATGTACCTAATTGATAATTCGTTCAAAAATAATATTCTATAAATATACTCAAGTGTATGCTTTGAACAAATTTGTATGATTTTTTTAGTAAAGCAAAAAAACTTACGTCTTCTACTTGCCCAAGACCCATCTGACTCTGAAAAGCAAAAGGATTTTGTTATATTTAGGTGGTTTAATATTTATACAAAATTCTAGAACTATGAAATTCGAGTTATGAGTACACTTGTACAATATCGGAACAAAATTATGGTTCTAACTGTAAGATCATTACGGACCAGTTATGATGAGACCTTGTAAACTCTAATGATGAGACATAACTTGTACGAACACATATTATAAATGCTGCAAACATTTTTTTGGGTTTAAAAAATTAATATCTTATTAATAGTTCTTTCAAAAATAATATACTTTTAAATTACTTAGTGAACGCTTTAGAATGATTTGTATGATTTTTTTTAGTAAACAAAGAAAACAACTTACCATCGACCCAGGTGCCACTGTAAAACAAAATAATTTTGTTATATTTAAGTGGTTTATATTTATACGAAATTCCAAAATTTAAATTTATTTAAATACCTGAGAACTTTGTTAGAACTGCTACGAGCAACAATACAACGTACAAAAAACGCATTTTTACTATATATGAAAAATGTCAGTCGTTTGCCTTTGGAAGTAACTGGAATACTATTAGGTACCTACTATTTTTTTCTTCTTATATTAGCTGCGTAGTGTTTAGTAAGTACAAACAAATACAATTTTTGTTTAGTTGGATTTTCTTTGTACAAATTTCTCAGAAAATATTCATCAAACATTTGAGTACATAATCGAACTAGAAGTGTGTCATTCGAAACACGGATTCACAAAAACATATAGTATTGTTTACTTATCGAACCCAGTTATTGTAATAGGGTCACAGCAGGTGTTGTTTTAACACGGATTCGAAACACGGATTTACAAAAAATATATAGATGGTAAATGGTAATATATTGAAGGTTTGAAAAAATAACATACTAAGAAATAGATTATTAATGGTGTAAGGTATACACGCTTTAAAGTAAAATATTCGGTTTGGTTTTTTTATTTATAGGCTATTTACAATTTTACTGATATACACAACAGTTGGCCGGTAATGTTTACAGATCGAACTATAATATGTTGTTTTCAATATCGTACAATGGTGTGATATTTTTTTAATAGTAAATTTATCATAGATAAAGCATACCTTACACCTTAACTAAGCGGTAATTTAATATGAAAAAAACAAAATGGGTTTCATAATTCCCATCAATAAGAGAATATAAACGAAAAAATAGATAATACAAAAAAAATATTTTTAATTTAGGCCCGGTTTTCAACTTTAATTTTATTCATCGAATTACTAATTCACAAATAAATTTAGTTGAGGAATAATATTCCGAAAAAAATACAATGAAACATTATAAAAAGACAAAATAAATAAATTAAGTAGTAAAAACTTGAGGTTTGATATTTCTTTTTACATCGTCCCTTGATTTTTTTATGCTGGTTAACTGTTTTTTTTACATTATAACTAGAATTCTTGTACTTAATTTTATGGTTTCTAGAATAATTGATTTGTATATTCTGTAAATTAATTATTTAATTTTTATAAAAAGCCTTCGTGACTTACCCTAGGATTAATCAATTACTCCATTGTCCACATATTGTGCTAAATTTGTGTTTGCATTACAAATAATTTAAGTATTTAACACCTAACTAAATTGAATAACGTTTCATTAGACGTTGTAAATAATATAAAAAATCGAATTATATGAATGTATTATACTATTGTATGAATGGTCATATTTTATTTGCTGTAACGTACATTTACTTGTCTTTACGCATAAATTAGATTAAATAATAAGTTTTTATCTACTTAAAGCCTAACGGCTAAAATTCTAAAACATTGCACATGCTTTAGCCTGCTGGCTCCTAAGTAGTGATTATTTCTGTTCAACAATCTTCTTGCCATTTATGAAGATTATACCGGAAGATTTATTTTTATCATGGGCCACATAATATCTCATAAAATTTAATAGGAATTAAATATTTTTTTTTATATTGTTGTTATACAATGTGATCTCAACTTTTCAGAACTTTTTTATTTTTACCACCCTACCAACTTAGTTTTTTCGATAACAACTTTTAAATTTTAAATAACGTACACATTTTATTAACATTTTAAATGTTAATGCTATTGTTTAACATTAGAATATTTCCTTAAAATTTTAAGATTATTAAAAAAAACTACGGAATTTAATATTGTTGCATGTTGTTGTTAGCATTTTGAGAATTTAATAAAGTAGTATTTTTTGTAATAGTATTTCATGATTTGCCGTGTACACGGGTGACACGTAAGATATCTAGGTCATATTTTTTTATTTGTTTTTAGTAAGCAAGGTTAGGGCAAACATTGCGATGTTATGATCTGATTCGAAGAAAAAAACAAAACAATAAATCATTGGAGAACATATACCTACTTCACTACGACAACTAACCTAACCACACTACAATTGTGCCCTCATTTTTTTTGCGTTAAACCGAAATGATATATTAAACGAACAGCGTTTTTTTTTTTTTTTTAACAAATAGGGTAAACCTAAATTTTTGATAATGAGCTTATTACAATCTTCTAATATAACACAATACTTAATGTTAAGTATGTAACAGTAGTTAACTTATGTACTTAAAATGACATTAACTAATTATCGATCAAATTATCGCCTTAAGTTATACCAAAACAAACAATATTATATGAAATTTTGAATAATGTATACAATTTATTTACTTTCGGTTAACTATTTTTGAAGTTATTGAAGTTTCAAGCTTAGGGAAGGAAGAAAGGTGGGATTGTAGTATTATTTTTATCTGCGCGCATTTCCCAACCACACTGGAGAAGTAAGAGGGGATCCCATCCTAAGTATTAAACTCTTATAACTTGAACATAGTTGTCCTAAACTGGTTATCAACCAGTTAACATTTTCAGTACATTATTCTAAATTTTTGATCGAATCTTAATTTTCCTTTAGATATAGTATTGTATGGAGTAGGTAATTGTGTTTTCCTAATAAAATCTATATTAATTTTATATAATACAATTTTAATACCTTATAAAATAATAATACCTTAGATTTTAGAAATGGTATTATGCGTTTTTACATAGTATCCAGTTCAGATAATTTTCGGAATAAAAAATAAAAAAAACTAATACTAATTTTTTTTACAATACCGTTAACCAACACCCATTCGTTATTTTAAAATTTTTAAACGGAGTAAGGGTTTAAAACATATAACACCATTGTACGATGATAAAAATAACCTGTTATGGTTTGATCTGTAAACATTACCGACCAACTGTTGTGTATTTGAGTAAAATCAAGTTTTTTAAGTCGCATAAATCCATTTCTAATTATATAATTAAATTCATTTAGATTTTATTAGGAAAAAACAATACTCCAATACTTGTGCAATATCAAAAACAAAAGTATAATACTATCTGTATAATCGTTACCGACCATTTATGGTGTATATGAGTAAAATCGGGTGTCTAGGTGAATTCAGGTCATATCAAAACGGTTAAAAAGCTTTCTGAGACCTGCGTCAAGATTTAACACGTTATTGAGGGGAGGGACTACAGCCGAATGATTTTTAATGTAACGGAAATTACAATATAAGAGTGTAGGGGTGTTGAGCCAAAAGAGTTTCCAACAAAATCAACAAGTCCTTATAAGATGGATTTCCCCATCAAAGTTTGACTGCTGAGAAATTAGATATACCGATCATATTGTACACTAAGAGATAGTAATTCGTTATGCCTTTCAAAATGTAAAACATGAAACATGCTTAAGCCAGCAGACTACCGGGTAGTGATTATTTCTGCATATACAATCTCTTTGCGATTTATGATGATTATACAGGGTGATTTTTTTTTATCATGGGCCACTTATTAACTCATAGTATTCAATAGGAATTACATTTTTTTTTTCATATTGTTGTTGTACAACGTGATGATGACACAAACCACGCTCACTGGACGGCCGCCGCGGCAAGCCTTATCCAGGTAGCACCTACACATTACCTACCTATCTACGATCGCGCCGAAAAAAGTGCCTCCGCTGATAATCAAAATTAATAAAAAAACAACCGTAGACGACGAAGGTTTTCGCTCACCAAGATCACCAAAAATCCCCAAAACCTCATCAGTGTCCGTCTCTCAAATATTTAGTTCGCCGAATCGCTACTCTCCACTTACACAAGACCCCCCTCTCGAAGACAACAATATCGCCGACATCGCCGACCCTAATATCGAAAATCAGGAGACGGTGAGTAGAATAAAACCTCCACCGCCAATCTACATCAAAGACGAAGGTCTTGACTTCAAACTTCTCAAATCAAAACTGATCGACCTCGTAGGAGACCAAGGATTTTTTGTAAAAACATCACAAAAAAATATTAAACTTCAAGCAAATTCAACAGACTAATTCAACTATAGAACAATAATACATTTTCTTAATGATGAACCCAATGCTCAATTCCACACCTACCAATTACAAAACGACAAACCTTACCGTGTAGTCATTAGAAATCTCCATCCCTCAACTCCCTGCGAGGAAATAAAATCAGCTCTTGAAAACTTCAATTTTTCTGTTATTCAAGTAATCAATGTGCTGCAAAGGCAAACCAAAACGCCTCTCCCTCTGTTTTTTGTTGACTTAGAAAAAGACGACAACTGCCAATCGATCTTTGACATTACTGCAATTTTGCACACAAAAATCAAAATAGAGGAACCTCATAAAAGACGCGAAATTATCCAGTGCCAAAACTGCCAAGACTACGGTCACTCTCGGACATACTGTGGGTACTCACCGCGATGTGTACGCTGTGGAGAAAACCACTTATCAACCCTCTGCTCCAAACCAAAGGATATACCAGCCACCTGCGCCTTGTGCAAGGGAAACCATCCTGCCAATTATCGTGGCTGCCAAATTCATAAAGATCTCCAACGTCTTCCTCTACCTTTATCAAAAAACCCACCCCACAATGTAATTCCCCCTCAACAAACCGTCTCTCCGATACAACCACCTAATAAAACTACTCAAAACTCCCATTCCTACTCTC